AAGATAGATGCTTGTCTTTCAGTTTTAATTCCCTGGTTCACATGATGGCGGTTAAAATTGCCTTTTGCCGTACAGATAGATATCACACGGAACACTGCACAGTTTTAAACGTTCCCTGGCAATCGTTAAATTGGCAGTCTGCCTCCTCGTCACATTCAATGTTTGTGGCTTGCTAGGACCGAAGAGACATGTAAAATCCTCTTGGATTATTGGTTCTAAGAATCCATGCTACTCCTGATCGGCTGTGGGTCAGCATAGATGGCTTGCAGGAGTTTACTAATATTCATTTTTTACTTACTTACTTACTACTTACTTACGAAGCTCATCATACAGCACCTGTTTTGTCACGTCTGCGTCAGAGATGTCAGCAAATGTTTTTAAGAAGTTTTGATTAGCTTTGGCCGGAAGAGATCTGGCATTATACCTGTTCACAAAAGTGTAATCCTGCTTATATCTAGCTAAGCGCAATTTCATCAAACTATTAAATCAGTTAAATCAATTATTAGAATATTAAAACAATTAATTCAAACAAACTCTTTACAAACACGTTTTTGAATCTCTGAGAAACATTTCCAGCCGAAAATCACCCATAAAGTTGTGTGGTTAGAAATTAATGTTGAAAACATTTTGAAATGTTTGCACCGTGATCGTTCGTGAAAAGCGTTAATGTATAAGCTTTGCTTGACTTGTTTTTCTGTGAATTATAACTTCCCTACACGTTTTAAATGCGGTTGATGGTATGTCCATAGATCCCACATAAAACCTTAAAGCCCATTCGATTTACTATCACTCGATGAAAGAATACCATCCATTAAAACGATCTGAAAATATTTGAAGCTGATATTTGAAGGTCATAATTATAATTCCCAGAAAAATAGGTATTTATAAAGTTGAGAGAGGACCATACAATCTTAGCTCCTGTGGCAATGCAGCGTCGTTATCGATCACTTCTTTCAAGCTCATCAATAGCAATTTAATGGAACTTAGAACCCAAATCCGAGCCAAATTCTCGCTTTAGATATGTTTTGTAATCGGATTTCAACTCAATCTGGTGGATGAAATTGGTTCGTTAGATTCAAAAGTTTGGTATAGGGCATTCGTACTCTAGAGTCGGGCATACTATTCCAAATGGAAACACGTACACACGCAGATGAAACACATGCACAGTTGCTTGTACACCGCATGCATCAGAATTCACCAGTTCAACACAATAGGGAATGAGGCTTATAAGCTCTTGGACGCGTTCAGCGGAGTGAGTGCCCAAATGCCAACGTAGCTAAGTAAGTAAAGGCTAAGTAAGGCTAAGTAACAGAGCAGTTAAAATGGCCAAGTTCATGGACATGTGGTGAAAACTTATGTGCATGATAAACAGCATACTGAACCCAATTACGTTCTGCCTTTGGGAAATCAAACCAAATCTTGTCTCCGGTATCTCAGCGAACCGTGAACTTATGACAACTAATGAAGTACATGCAGATATGGGCATAATCATGTTAACGTACAAAAACAAAGTAAAAGCAGCCGCCAAAACCCTACGATATCTTTGTAGCACTCGCAAAGATGATTGTGCAGAAGAATAGAAATGTGTAAATCGTAACATATTTCACAGCACCATGAAAAACGCCAAAAATTGGGGGTCTTCTCAAGGTTTTTCTTAAGTTTTTTTTTGCACGGGCTAGATCTGCATTTTAAAAGATGCTTAAATGCTACGGGACAGAGGGATGGCATTTCTTTCTCGCGCTCATTATTTCACGCTCCATGGCGCCCGCACCACATCACCCACTCCGCGGCGGACTGGAACCTCCATACGGCACTGCCATCTGGGGACAGCAAAGCGAACTACACCGTGACGCGACATCCGCGAAACGCACAAAATGCCACAGTTGGTCACATCGCTTGATGGGGACGGGAGGTGTGCCTGAACCGCCTGTCTCGCGGGCAGCCGCTGAGACGGTGGCGTCAGACGCGTGTTTCGACTACACAACACACCTAACTGAGTCCCTAGCGACGGTGGGCCCTGTTCCTTTAAATGGTTGCGAGTGGAGCCACAGCCATACGCGTGCCGACTGTCGTGAACATTGGTCATCTTGCGCCCGCGCAGAATCGATCAAGGAAAATTTTTCATTCAAGGGTTAATGAAGCATTTTTGCAGGAGTCTGCAACTTGTAAGCCTGATATCAGTTCAGGGCTCTTGCGTTTAATATATATATATATATATATATATATATATATATATATATTCACCTTCTCTCTCAACCCCTGCAGAAAAAAATGTGCTGACACCGGTTGCAAGTCACAAGTCGTCGGCCTTTCTTTCCCCTGGCAGCATTTCAGTCCTGGCGTCGGCCCAGTTTCCGGGCCAAGCTCCGGCATCAGCCATAAGCTGTTTAGGTGCCGCCCTGACGGGAGACACATCCGAGCGTCGGCACAAACCACCAGGAGGGGCCCCCTACAACGGTTAAGCCCCTGTCCTTGCGCGAGGCTTTCTAGTGCAAGTCTACCAGACTATCACAGTATTGCCTCACCACTCACTTTTAGCCTTAAATTCCAAGCCTCTGAAGTGGCGGCTGCTCGCCGAAAGGGCTTTAATGTAATGCAAAAATGCCACAAGTAGACAATGCGTCAGTAAGTTGACGGCAAGGTCTTTCTTGGATATGGGACAACCACCCGTCCAATAGGTAGCAAACTCACATCTGTCATGTTTGCATGGAGAAAGCCGGATGTAGGACTGCAAAACGGTCGGCTACCAGGTAAAGACAGAGATCTGGACGCTGCTATTTAAAGACGGTGGGAAGCCTTTATGTTATGCCCCATCATGGGGCTTGTCTTCACAGCAAACGTTCACGAAAATAGTTTCGCTCGTCTTTCTGCCTGACAGCTTTACCCATACCCGCACTTCCCCACCGCTTGCCGCTATGTCCCCTATCTCTTCTCGCCCTTCAAATGCTTATCATTCCGCATCAGAGGAGCCGGCCGACCAACCGAGCGCAGCTTTCACGCCGCCCAAATTGCACAGGTGTTGTGTGATTTTTGTCAAATTGCAGCGCACCGATCATGCAGATGAAAGTCTCTGTACTCGACAGCACTTCCGTGTGATCGTCTCGCGTTGGGCGCCGAAGTGGTGCGCACGTGACGTTCGGATCTGCTGGCCGTCTTCCCGAGCCACCGGGTTGTTTTGATCCCGATATTAGCGGAGTGCAAGCCCCGAATACCACACGGTCGGCTCCGGCTCGTAAGCCCTGACACCTGCGGCGCTTCCAGTAGCTGGCTTTGCCTTGAGACCAAACGGTGCCGAAAAGAGGTAATCACATCCTACGTCACAAACTCAAATCAGCTCCGGTTGACGTAAATATGCACAGCTGGCTGGACCGAAAGCCGGACGTTGTGGTTTGAGTAGCTTCTGTGCTAGGCAGCGCGGATTCCTGGCCCGCTGCTCCAGCAGACATTAAGCGGTAAGCTACAAGCCTGTTATGCGATCTAATATCGATATTCACACACCCTTCGCTCCGCCAGGGCCATATCGAATGGTTATCGTTTATGCATCAAACACGGGACCAAGTTTTCTGCTTCCAGAATGAAGTCATCGGCTGGGCTTGATTTACTTTGGTGTTGAAAAGGCAATCTCTGGCCACAGAGAATAACCTTAGAGGATATTGATAAAGGTTTGAGGCATTTTCAGATAGGAACTTACAGGCCGCTAAACACAGGCTACCTAATGGGCACTATCTCATCGATGAGCATAAAATCGTTGCAAACTTACATGCAAATAATCCTCAAATCGAGCATAATACATGCTCAACACACAACTCATGTCCACGATACGCGCCCACAAATTGAAAAACGCTACCTGCGAAAGCAGTCGGGAGTTTATGGATTGATATTTACGTGCATACCCAGACGACTGCGCAAACGGCCGACACGGCCCGGCGCCGGTGCGGGCCGGTTGGGCCGGCGGGCAGCCAGGTCATCACAGCCGATTTACGGCCACAAAGGCGGCGTTCGGGCGGTCGGGGCGCCTCTGTTTGCCCGCAGGTCGACACTGGGGGAGATCAGCGGAGGCTCGGCATTCGGTGCGCCAGCACCCACCCCAATCAAAAGCAGATCGGCGGGGTCGGCGGCGCCTGCACGGCCCTCCCAGCGTGCCTCTCCGCCACCCGCCCGCTCGCATTCTCTGACAAACGACTGGTAATCGATATCGGCCGATTAGACGCCGGCCCGGGCGACCGGGTGGTCTGGCGAGCGTGCGTGAGCGTGTGTCATTCACCGGACGCAGGTATGCACCTGACAACACCGGCCGGTCGACGACGCCGTCAGCGGCTCCGCGGCCTCACCGACCCGGCTGCGCACGACACAGTGCCAGGGAATCGAGCGACTTCGGCACAGACAGGCCGGCTGCGGCCGCGGCGAGCTCAATAATGCAATGGCAACTCGACGGGCCACGCAGTACTTCACATCATCTGGCAGGGTGGAACGAGCGACCACCAGACATCGTGAATTTACGCTGGGATAATCCTCCGCTACCATCGGAGGGATCACACACACGCGCCCTTTAACCAGTCCGGCAGACAGCAGGAGCGTTGGATCTACCGCTGACTCTATTCCGCACCCATTTCCGGCGCTTCACAGGACGTGCCCGTCCGACGACGGCGGCTGACGCTCGGAATAATCACCGCCACGTCACTCACGCGTCACCGCCCGCCCGACATGTTTTCGTGTGCAGAGGAAGGGCTGGGTCGGGGGCCGCAGCTGGACTGCGGTGGCCTGTCGCGGCTCGCAGGCTGCTGTATTTTTTACGGCCTGACCGGCCGGGGCGACCGGCGGCGGCGGCAGCCGGTCGGCCGGCCGGCCCCGCAGCCGCCGCTGCCGCCGCAAAGTCGCGACGCCGCCACGCGCGCCCATTGGTCGGCGCTCAGGCTCGGCGCGCGCTCATTGGCCGAGCGTGACATCAGTAAGCATGACAGAGAGGTGGGAGGTCCGTCAATTCGCCGCTTACACTCGATCTTGCCTGGTCGCGCCGCGCGGATACCAAACCTGTCGACGTTTCGCCGCAAGCGATCGTTTTGCCTTATCAGTGTGAGCTGCCTACGCATCTGATGTTAGGCGGGGCGGTCAGTCTCTCCCCGTTGCTAGGAGACCAAGTTGTAACTATGGCAACAGAGATTACCGAGACTCCAGACATGGTGAGTGTGGCGAGCCTGTTTTCGAATTGGTGATTCGGTAATTTATGTGTTGTGCCACGTACGGTGACGTAATCGCCCATCGGCAGGTTTCGCCTGTCTCCGGTCACGACGGATTTATGGAGTGATCCTTTCCCTTGTCACTTGAGCTATTAGGGGCTTTTTATTATTTTGCCATCGCGACTTCGTTGCTGATCACATTTAGATTTGTTCGATAATCTATCAATCCGCCATATCAATCAGGTCCGGCCGGGACCGCCGTTTTTGCCAGAGCGCCTTGCCGGCTCGTATCTTTCCGATGTTTCAATCGTGCCGTTTTTGCTCCGACGTACTTTTAGTGCAATTACCTCATGTGAGGGTGCCGCGGACAAAAAGGCCGCCCAGCCGCGATGCGGCGATAGCGGCGCGGCTGACTGTGGCGCATCCTTTGCAGGTCTGGCAGGACATCGAGCACGTGCTGCTGAGCGACAGTCAGCAGAAGCCGGCGCCGACGGCGGCGCACCAGCCACAACAGCCGTGGGCCGGCGGTCCGTGGCTGCAGTACTTCACCGACAACGCACTCGGCGGCAAGGCCGAGCCGGCCGGCTACGGTGCCGGCCAGCAGGCCTACGGCAACCCGCGCATCAAGCTGGAGGACGACTGGTGCCTGGCGGGCTGCGCACCGCAGCACGGACGGCCGTTCGACGCGCCGCAGTCCGGCTACGGCGATGTGTTCTACGCCGAGGCCGGCGCCTGCTACGCCGCCTGCATGACGCCGCCGGTGACGCCTGAAAACCGACTCAAGTGGCAACAGCAACAGCAGCAGCAGCAGCAGCATCAACAGCAGCAGCAGCAGCAGCAGCAGCAGCAGCATGTGCAAAAGGGCTACGGTGGCTACTTCCCGACGGTCGGCTCGTCGTGCGGCGTGCGCGCGCCCGCCACTGGCCTGGTGACGCCTCCCTCCTCGCCGCAGTTCCTGCAGGCCGGCTACATGACCGGTGCAGGTCTGCCCATGCAGACGCTGCCGTCGGCGCCCAAGCCGCGCCGCCGCCGCACCTGGGCCAAGCGGAAGGTCATCATCCACACGTGCGCGCACCCGGGCTGCACGAAAACCTACACCAAGTCGTCCCACCTGAAGGCCCACCAGCGGACGCACACGGGCGAGAAGCCGTACCAGTGCACGTGGAAGGGCTGCGGCTGGAAGTTCGCGCGCTCGGACGAGCTCACGCGCCACTACCGCAAGCACACGGGCGACCGGCCGTTCCAGTGCCGGCTGTGCGAGCGGGCCTTCTCGCGCTCGGACCACCTGGCGCTGCACATGAAGCGGCACGTTCAGATGTGAGCAGCGAGGAGCCGCCCCCGCCCGACTCATGCAGTCTAGTCATCAGCGTCGCGTCTGCCAGTATTATGTAATGTATGCGACGGGCGTTTGCCTTTCTCTGTCCACTGTGCAATTGTTTCCGGATCGTGTACAAGGAATGCTGACTGCGATATGGCCAGCACGATGGGCACAGCCTCGACCATACGATCGCTCCCAGACTTCGAATTTTGACCCTCGTGACATGTTTGTACATTGTTATTTGTATAAATACATATCATTTGTAATAAGTCCTCTGTGTTTCCCACCTCAACCATATAGCGGGCGACGACAGCCAACACTGTGCCGCTGCTTGCCGCGGGACACCACCTTGACCGTCGGCATGAGGCGCGGCGTTGCGCCGTGACTTCGGGGCCGGTCGGACGGCGCGCGCGCCGCCTCGGTGCCGGACAAGAGGCGGCGGGCCGCCCGCGTCTGCACGCCCCTGTAGCCCGCCCACCGCAGCCGACTGTAATCACAGGGACCGCGGCTCACCGCCCTCGGCGCCAGTTAGAGTTATGGATTGGCCGGCGCCGTGCTGAACGCGCTGCTCGTCGATGAGGCAGATTTGCTGCAAAACCAGCACGTTGCGGCTACGCCCGCCGTTTGCGGTTGTTTAGAGCGCCGGAGACCGAAACGCGCGCTATCCTAACGCGCAGCAAAGCAGAATGGAAGGACGCTTGCTGGGGCTCTGATTGCACGCATGTGGCATCTTATACGCAGCTGTATAAAGACAGAATAGGTGTCATTTTGGGGACTTGAAGCTTTCTGGACAGCCCTTGCTTGCCGCGTTATCGAAAGGCACGCTTTTCTTATTCTTTCCGAGGCACAGCAATGACAAAATGGCCCACCAGAACTTAGCATTAAGCACATGCTAACCTAAATCGTTACATAACGTGCTATAATCTGCATCTATCCATTTAATGATTCCTTCCTTATCCAGTTAAAGAAACTGAGTTGGTGTGATTTCAGTGTATTAAGTGCTTTTAACTGGCCTTGTTTGTCAAGTTCTAAATCTAAATGTTTTGAATTTCTGAAAATTTTTAATGAAATTTGGGTTTTTTAAAATTCCGGATGTAACTAAACGGTTTCTTTATATTGCAGCCCTAACGAAGGGCCCTAATTATTGCAAAAAGCAAGCTATAAGGAATAATATACAACAAAGAAACCCTTTTTCGCGTTGGGCTGAAATCTTCAGAATGTAAAATCGTCACGCTGATTGTGCACATGATTGTTGTGGCTGCTCAAAATATGCTAAACGCAAGCCAGTTCAAGGCTATTTCATTTTGTTCTTGCCTTAAACACAGCGATGCTGTTGAAGTAAAGCTCAATGACGGTCTGATAGAGGTAAATTTTTCGTCGCACTCCTTAACATTGATTTTGTACTCTGAAGTCCAATTTCGTATTGTATTAACAAGTGTTGGAGTACCAGCTCGCGCCGTACTGCTCCGAACAGCGACCATGGGGTGTTATTTACAGTGTTGCCTGCCGCAATGGCGATACCAAATGTTTTCAAAGAGCCTTTTTTCTTAAGCGCGTGCGGCACAGTTCTCCCCGTAATTGAAAACGTTTCTTAAATCAGGGGCTTTTTAACATTACTTGGTCTAAATCGTTGGATATTTTCGAAGCATAAACCCACAAAGCTTATCCTTGTTGACAATTTACTGCGTTAAGTGCTGATTAAATCATGACACACACGTCAGGCGAGCTGATGCAAGTTTCATTTCTGACGGTCTTGAAAATGAGAACAGTTGCATTCTGAACACTTTGATGTTTCACACCTTCATGCCGGTCGGTAACGCCCGTCGTCGTTTCCCGGCTCCGAAGCTGCCATTAGGTTTAACGCGGCGATTTAGGTGTTGCGGTTTAAAAGAAAAGCAAGTTGCCTACGGTAAGATAAGCATCAATCAGATTACTTAGTGTGCGTGTTGGGACCATGGTGCCGTCCTGGGCGCTAGCCTGCACCACGCGCGGTGCAAAATTGTCCATGTGCGAAATTGCTCGGCACCTGTGGTAAAACGAACTATTTTCGCCAGGAGGGACCTTTTACATCGGGGATGGAAGTTTCTCTCAGAGCAAGGGGTCCAGGGAATTTCTGAGGTGCGGAATATCCGGTGTGTGCCATGGGCTAAATGGCTCCGCCAAAGAGAGGGCGAGGACAGGACTCCTGAATTTGGTAGAATTAAACATCATGTCTATGGCGTGGCGTCACAATGGAAAGAATATCCAATCCCCCAGCCTGAGCCAGCGGTGGAATCGCTATAAAGGCTTAATGCTATTTTTGTTTTCGGAGAGGGCCCAAAACCATATCCAAGATACTCACCACTGCTGCACAATAAGCTCTGCCTGGAGCGTTCTGCAAGAATATTGTCCATTTAACACGTTCCACATAACGAGCGACGAAGTAGCAGGCTGCTACACTTTTTTGCAACAGCTCCTTGCACTACACAGGGCCTCCGGCTGTCGCCAAGCTCACAGCGGCACGTGCGAGAGCGGGCTCGGCCGGCATCCGCTTGTTGCCGTGTGGGCCGGCGCGGACGCCCGGGCCGCGGCCGAGGCGGCTCGAGTCGGCTGTCAACACACGGCGGTCAGCGGCTCGCTCGGCCGCGCAGCCGTTTGTCCGCCTAAGTGGCGTGTAAGCTGTCGGACACAGGTCCGCTTCACGGCGCCCGCCGCCCCGACGACGCAGGAAGCGCGCCGGGGGTGAGGAATGCCGCGGGAAGTGCGAACAATGTGCGCGGCGACGGTGGCGCGGCGGAGTCAATACTGGCGCTGCACCTGCTGCCGGCACGCGGGGGGGGGGACGGTGAACTGGATCGGCCGGCTCGAGGGTGGGGATCCGCTGGGCCTGTGCCGGCGGTGACGAGGTGCCCAGCGGCGGCGGCACCGCGCCACGGTCACGGGTGGTGGCCAGCGTGTGCAAATACACCTCTGCAAACGGAGGTCACGGATCGTAGCCCCTCTTCAGCCGGTGCTCCGGCGCCGTGCGGTGAGCACGCTGTGGGCAGAGCGGCCACCGCTGACATGTGCCGTCTGTTTGCGCCATGCAGTGACACCGCGTTCTGTCCAGGCGATGTAGTCCGTGTCAGAGGGCAGGCAATTCGTGTGGACCGCGCCCCTGCGGTGAAGACATGGCCGGTGTCCGTTTGTACGCCGTCATGTCCACCGCGAATCCCTCACGACCGCCGGCCGGCTTCAACAACCAACTTTAATTCGGCATTTAAATAGCCAGGAAGCGGTGATGGCGAATCGGACAAAAGATTTCTAATGAAGTTAATTTATCGCCGGAAGCGCTTTGTGTGATAATGCTACGAACTGTTTGCCAGTGACTCGAGGCATAGCGCTGTCCACGCACGCAGAACGTGAAAACTGTGCCGGTCAAATCTGCACTCTCATCGAAGAGACAAAGGTGGAAAAGAAACGAAAGGCACACCACTGCTTTCTGCCTCCGGGAAACGTGACTGATGCAAAATGACGTGGTCTCGTCCATGGTGATGGCAGGAAAGCTGTGGTGGAGGGTCACCACGGCATGTCTTCAGACTGTACGTAAACAAATGTAGCTGTTTCATTTAGCTGTTTCAAAACATGCGTTTCGGCTAGTGGAAGGCATCAAAACGTCAACCCAAACGATGCCAGCATTAAGCTAGCAGTCTCTTGACCTGAGCAAAGTAATAGACAAAAGCACACACGGCGGTTGGTGATGATCCTTCGTTTGACTAAGGCCTTTCTAACCCAACATCTGAAAGTACAATAATGAAACCGTTTAAACTTCGGCGAAGGCAAAAGATCTGACGTACCAATCACGCTGATGAGACACGCGTTTTTATTTTTTATTTTTTTTGTTTTTTGTTTTGATTGCCGAACAGGAAGCCCCTGAACTGGTCGCCTTGCTAATGCTGGGTGTCGGGACTCGAGCCCCTGAACTGGTCGCCCTGCTAATGCTGGGCGTTAGGACTCGAGCCCCTGGGTTGGCCGCCCTGCTATTGCTGGGCGTTAGGACTCGAGCCCCTGGGTTGGCCGCCCTGCTATTGCTGGGCGTTAGGACTCGAGCCCCTGAACTGGTCGCCCTGCTAATGCTGGGCGTTAGGACTCAAGCCCCTGAACTGGTCGCCCTGCTAATGCTGGGCGTTAGGACTCGAGCCCCTGAACTGGTCGCCCTGCTAATGCTGGGCGTTAGGACTCGAGCCCCTGGGCTGGTCGCCCTGCTAATGCTGGGCGTTAGGACTCGAGCCCCTGAACTGGTCGCCCTGCTAATGCTGGGCGTTAGGACTCGAGCCCCTGGGCTGGTCGCCCTGCTAATGCTGGGTGTCAGGACTCGAGCCCCTGGGCTGGTCGCCTTGCTAATGCTGGGCGTTAGGACTCGAGCCCCTGAACTGGTCGCCCTGCTAATGCTGGGCGTTAGGACTCGAGCCCCTGGGCTGGTCGCCCTGCTATTGCTGGGTGTCAGGACTCGAGCCCCTGGGTTGGCCGCCCTTCCAGTGCTGGGTGTCAGGGCACGGGCCGGGTGACCGCCCGGCGCGTATCCAAACAGCCACACGCGCTTATCTACGGCTATTAGATTCAGATGTCCACGCGATGGATGCCCTCTAGAACATGGTGCCGGAAGACATTCAGTGACATGGGCATCCTGAATAGTGAGTCTCGAATTCCGGCTAGGTTTTGCCCAGTTCGAGGGACCGCAGGCATCATCCGCGTTATGTACAAGCCATTAACCACCAAAATCAACGGTCAGTGTTGTCCCCAGATGAGCAGAGAACAAATCGCCTCACACGGCGCGTAGGCCCAGCAGACGAAGACCGGTGGGCGAAGATATACTGGGCGTGAGCATCTTGAAGATACAATGGGCGTAGGTGTCCTGAAGACGCGCCTCCGGTAAGATCGGTAGCATCACTATAGTGACGTCACAAAAAGCCGATCCATCCGTCGATAGGCTGTCTTCCTATCTCGTCGGGTCATTACAACGTTGTATAAGGCCGGGTCGGCGCAGGCCGCCAGTCTGTCATCTTTGCCGGTCTGTGGCCGGTAATTATGTTTCCCTGTCGGATGGTATCTGGTCGAGGTGTGCGACCAAATCGGGCGGTCCGCGCTCAATGAGCCGGACCGTATCGACGCCGGTATCGCCTTCCCATAACGAAAACACAGATGGCAGCATAAAACGATAACGGCGGACGCCATGATCCCGTCTGTTTCGCATCCCCGATCGCCCGCTAATTGTGCTCGCCGCTGCCCCGGAAAGGAGGCGACACGCGCGG